TACGAGGCTTTTACGAGTTTAAGGGAAGACCCCTATTATTTTATCAGTTTTAACCTTAGTCGATCCAAGGTTCAAGAAAAATGCTTTGATGGATGAAGAGGCCCTTCAGGGGGATATTCTCTAACCAGTTAGCGAGAAGTTTCGCATCGATATCGCACGTAACGTAAAAATATTTCATATCATACGTCAACAACAGATACCGATTCGAAAATTGTCGCTAACTGGTTACAAAATCTGCCCCTAGGCCTACAAAAATGATATCGTCCGATTCAGCTGGAACAAAAATGTTTGAAACAAGTAAGAGTTTTTCTACATTATGGGCTCGAACCGACTTATATACATCATTCATTTGAATCAGTATTAAAAGCTTTATTGGCTCCTACATTCGGCTAGTCTTCCCTGAACCATTTTTTTCATATTTTTGGCCTATGTGCCATTTTATTCGAAACCTAAATGTTTCGTTAGCGAGTATCGAGAGTATTGGATACTTTTTAAATCAGTACCGAATATCGATCAATACTTAAAAGTATTGACTCAGCACATCACTAATTTCCATTACTTTTTGACATAGTTCAGGCCGTTTATCATTTATAACGCGTATGATTTCATTCTTTAGCTCTAAAATGGTCTCGGGCTTATTAGCATATACCAATCTTTTCATGTATTCCCAAAGAAAGAAGTCCAATGGTTTCAAATCGCAAGTTTTTGGCGGCCATTTGCAGGGTAATTTTCGAAAAAGTACGGTCCCGTGATTCGGTCTAAAAACCACAATAAACAGTAACTCGTTGTGTGTGCATGGATTTTTCTTGAATTATATTTGAATTTTCTGTACGCCAAATATGGCGGTTAGGAGAAAATGTGCCTGATCGCATTTAATGAGCGAAATGCACTTTCAACTGCAGAACGAAATTTTTTTATAAAATAATTTTCATAAAATATTTGGATCACCTTTACGTGTTGTTCAACTGAGCATCGCTCCATGACTAAGTTTGCCAAAGCCTGTAGTACCAATTGTCTGGAAAAAAAAATAACATTTTCACAAATAATCGCTGTCAAAGATCTGTATCACTCTTGAATCACCCTATACTATGCAAGCTATGAGAGTGCATATGTATGTATGTAGTATGCATGCATTGCTGTGCGAGCGTTCCCTCCATTTGCAACCTCAAGTTTGCGTTTTGCTTGGCTTGCAAAATACGAGTAAATCGTAAGTGAAATATGATTAAGTAAAGTTATAAAGTTCAAGTTGACATTGTGCAGTGTTCCATGAAAGTGATGCAGTGTGAAGGGCGGTGTTAAGGCGATTGGTGGATGCTGCCATGCTTGCGGTTTACTTGTCTTTGCCACATCTGCTTGCTGTTCTTTTCTGAGCATAACTTTTTGTGATGAGGAGGGATTTTATTTTAGTTGCCACTATTCAAGTGAGTTGAACAGTTAAGTGAATTGAATTTGTTGTGGGTTTTCGCTCTCTCCTTTTTACCAATTCAAACTTTCAAGATGCTTGTTTACCAATGTTTAACTTTCAACATTTTTGAATGTATTTTTTAATTGATTTTCGTATTTGTTTGGAGAATAAGTTTCTGTCCTTCGTTTGTCTTCTCAAATTAAGGGTTGTCTTATTCTTCTTACTTAATGTTTGGTAATTTTCCAAAAAGTTTGTTTAATGAAATACATATTATTTCCCCCTCTGCTTATCGTTTCTGCCAAATAACTAAAATCTAAAAATATGTAATAGACTTAAGTGCTCACTTAACCGATTTCGATATGGCGTCTTAGCGAGGTTTGGAGGGTTAAGTCTAAGCTAGATTTTGTTAGGTTGAATTCGCTTAGATGAGGTTAACCACAGAGCACCAGTCGTGTCAATATCCACTCGAAAAGTGATTTTAAATAGTCTTAACTAAATACACAAATATTTAGGAAACTCGGAAGCGTGCAATTTATTTTACTTTTGTTCATTATTTTAATAAAACGAATATTACTGCAAGTTAAGAATTGGCTCTGCAGAAACGTCTCCACATACCCAGTACGCTAAAGTCTTTTTCTACCGTTATTTTACCTTACATAAGATAAGTGTTAACTAGAAAAAAAGGCTAAGTTCGAGCAAAATTAAATTTTTTCGAGACATCATCAGTTATTAGTTGTTGGTGGAGGACAATTTCAAGCTACGAATCTAATTTTGCAGCGTCTGTTCAATATGACGTTTGGTTGCATGCGGGTCTATGTTCTGGTGCAAGCGACCGGTCAAATAGATTCAAAAATACTCAAAATTTACCGCGGTTTCTGGATTTGGCACCAGCCACATAAAAAAGGTTTTCATCGAAAGAAAGATACAGCCTCGGATGAGACTCCCTTTTGCTGACCGCGGACGTGCGTGCCCTTATAAGGAAAATGACCCTTAAAGCTGAAAGTGCGTCTACCCGGCTGGTGTCCTCGGGAAGACTAAGGCTGGCATCACCGACCTCAAAGGCTTGCGGTGGGGGCAAGAAATAAACATGCTGCGTCTACTCAAGCTGCCATGTAAAGGAAGGCAACTTCGGTGTTGGATTTGTGTTGGCAGAGAGAGACTTCATCGCTGAGTACTAGCATTCACTACAGTAGACGAGCGCAGTCCGCGTCAAATCGAGATTATTCAACATCTCGCCCCTTTGTGCCCACGCCCCGATAGAAGAGAAGCACGGGGCGTTCGATGATCTCTATTACGAGCACTTGGATGGCATCTAACCCCACGTCCACATCTGCTAACTGTAAGTTTTTTCGAATACGAAATCTTATTGCAGAGAATTTTTTGTATGAAGGCATTTCATCGCACACCATTTCAGTGCGAATATGTCGTAAATTTTTTATAAATGTTTCGAAATTTGTATTTTTTTGCTTCGTTGTGCCAGAACAGCATTTCGCCGAATTACACTACTTCTTTCTTACTCGGAATTAAAAAATGAAAAATGAAAAAATAGTGGCTAAACCCCGAGTTAGGTATGCGATATCTCTTACTTTACATCGTATACCTTCTGCGGTGAACGGTCTGCACAGTAGCTCTTACGATGTTTCGTATGCGAGCACCCATAGCAGGTATCGACGTGCAGTAATAGCGCTGCCATTGCCAAGATTTCGAATTCGTGCTATGTGGCTTCAATGCTAGGGTGGGCAAGGAAGGGTTCTTGAGCCCACCGTTAGAAAATTCAGTCTCCACAACGAAACATCCCATAAAGAGCTGAAGCTGATCCAATTCGCCTAAACGCCCAAAACATGACGCCTTCGGCACCAGTTGACAGTTGTAATTTTGAAAAAGTAGAAGCCTAATGCCAGTATGGACAAGGGAGACCCTTGCAGAATTAGGGAGAACGATTTTGCGGACGAATTACGAGTATGCGATTTTGCGCGTTGACGAAGGCGAATACCGCAGACAATGGAACGAAGAGCTGTGCAGCGCTGGCTTTTTAATTTATAACGAATGGATGTAAGTATGTAGTAATTCCTCTCTGAACACACATAGATAATGCATATGGGTATATGCTTGTCATTACGGTGGCTGATTATGGTCTCATTACGTCGAATGGTGTGCAAAATACATACATACATACGTTTAGCATCAGAAGCGTCAACATCAGCAATACCAACAATAATGATGTGAAATGAAAAAACAATAGATAATAGGTTAGCACACTGATGGGTGGATTTACTGATTAAAAAATTTACATGCATGTATCTATGTGTTGAATTTATATGTATGTATGTATGTATGTATGTATGTATGTACATATGGAAGTGTGGAGCAGCCTGTTGCTGCGCTTATCAGCAGCTACAGTATTTTAATGAAATATTTGATTAAATATACATACATACACGTTATACTTACATACATATGAACAACATACTTACATAAACATGTATATGCATAATATAAACACGCGGTCATTAGGGTGGTCGAAAAATACACAGCATGTTCCGAGTTGAATACTTTCAGAGCTTTAAAGTTAAATATGCATCATAATTCTATAGTTCGAAGATTTCTGAAGGGAAGTACTTTTTATTAATGTATGTAGAAGGTGTTGGCGTACAACGTAAATGTTTTTTATGTGACTTTTATGGACATAAATCAAGAAAACTACGAAAAATAGGCCATACCTCCCATACAAACCTAGCATCAAAAACGCTTCAAAAATGCCATAAAATGCTCACCGCTGAATACTCGACTTCGAAATTTTGTCCATATGTTTATAATAATATTAGAAGGGAACATCCAAAATAAATGGCTTAATCATTTTATTTTAACGCATATCGCCACTTAAAACAAATATAATTATTTCCAATCTTGGCCCATTGTGCGACCGCGGGTCGGTTATATGTTAAACTCTTTAAAAAAAAAAAAATCGGGTCTATTTACTTAGTTCTTGGGGATTGCTTGAAAAAAGAAGTCAGGACGACCCTAATGTACATAATCATTATTATGATACTTTATTTCCATCACTCATTGGAGCTCTTAGCCCCTTTTTTGTTTTGCTGTGTACATATTTACATATATCAGTTCTATACTATATGTACATATATGAAATGTCATTGCATTTGCTATAATTTCAGCTTATCAGCTTGAGGCGTTAAATGCTAAGCATACACACAGAATCCCTTTCGTTGGCTTGATATTGCTCTTCATTGCTCTTCCAAAATGATAGATGACATCGAAATGTGTTATTTTTTGTTCATTCACAATTTTTGCCACTGGTGCTAGTTACTGTTATCTTTGAACTTTACGATGACAACGTATAGCGAGATTTGTGTATTGTTTTTACCTTAATAATTCTCTCTGCTTCCCCATAAAAAAATATTTCATTCTTTCCACAGATATACATACATACATAGCTGGCATGTATGTAAATATAAATTTTACTCACTTTCATACCCCTCTTTCCCTATGTACTAGCAGGAAAAAAAAAATGTTATCACTGTAGCTAAACAGCACAGCTCAGATGGCGGCAGCAACAGTTGCCATCGCAAGAGTTTAATCGTTTGTAGTGTCAGTTGACGCGTCTATTAGTACCGATAACAGTCGAAAATTTTTTAAACCCTTGCGGAGTTTAGTCGTTGGTTTTTTGTGGCGCGCTTAAACAAAAATCAAAAATAAAGACCATAGATGCGATCATAAATCTGAGTGTTTGTGTTTAGGTAAGATTTTCGGGTGCTTTGGTTTATTTTTTTATGCTATTGATGCATACGACACCGCAGATAAAATTGTAAAAATTATATTTAGCGCTATTAGTTTGGTTTGGTTTTAAGTAGTGTGGTACATATATACATACATATATGCAAATGAAATAACTGCATGCTATATCTTCGGAAAGTAGATCTCATTGTGAAAAAGGTAAATAAAAAATTTAAAGACAACAATTAAAATAATAAATTTGTTTTGTATGTATTTTTGTTCAGGTTGCGCTTTGCAAAAATCTTAAAGAAGGCTTGATTTCCTGGCAACTTACAAGCTCTACAGCAACACATAATCAATCTTTACTGGGCTCCGGGGCACAACGGCGTCCCAGGAAATGAGGAAGCGGACGAATGTGCTAGAAAGGGGTCTGAAATGGGGCTTGGGGAAGCGATCGAGATCGTCAAACCTCCCCTTCCCCCCCGATTCCTGTTTTCGGAAGTCGAGAGAGTGACCAAGGCAGTCACCAACAGCAGGTGGGAAAACCTGCACACCCCTGAATGATATCGCGCCCGCTCTGGCCACGGCTCGACGAACGACGAACAAGGAGTTTATTAAGGCTGTCAAAGCCAAACGTTAAGCTTCTCACAGGAATACTAACGGGACACTGGACCATTGGCTATATGAGCGCCAGGTTCGGAGCACCGCATAACGATTTTTGTAGAAGCTGTAGAGATGGGAAGGAGGTAGAATCCGTCCCGCACTTCCTTTGTGCGTGTCCAGCACTCCGAAGAAAACGGCTCAAGTTTCTTGAGGACCATTTTTTCGATAGCCTGGATACCTTAGGGATAGCTCCACTGGAAGGATTGTTGGGATTCGCCAGAGAATCGAAATGGTTCAAAGACATGCCTCCAGAGGCATGGGGAAACCCCAATGGGTATCGTAATGGGCCTTTGTGGCCTCCGAGTGAACTCTTCTCAGAGCCGCCTGCTTAATCTGACCCAACCTAGTGGCGTTTTTATTCATACCGAAAAATGTTGCCTTCTCATTGCCTTCTACGAACAACTACTAGGAAGAGCGCAATGAGAAGGCAACATTTTTTGTAGAAACGAAAACTCCATAAACACCATTTCGCATAGTCAAAATTGAATTCAATTTAATTCATATTACACCACAAACCTACAATATTTTATTTTATTAAATTGTTTCAATTCAAATATTTTGTTTTCATCATTTCAGCCCAACAACCATTGTGAAGCGCATCTGATTGCGGCCACCACCGAAATTGAGGCGCTAAAGCAGGCTTTACTTGAAAAACACAATCAAATAGTAGCCATGGAAACGGCATGTATACAGGATACGGAACGTCAACTTGAATTGGAGGACAGTGTAATTGCGTGGCAAGATAAATATGATCGTTTGTATGAGTCGCATAAGCGAGTGCAAAAGGTAAATCAGAGCTTGGAGGATAAGCTATTAAAATTGGTGGATCGAAATACTGGCGAGCGAGCGCAATTGACCAGCGATGTGGCAACGTTGAGTGTACGTTTGGCACAGGCGAATTTCAATATAGCCAAGTTGCAGCGAGAAATTGTAAGTTAAACCAAACATATTTCTATTTTAACTACATATTTGCTTTTATTAGTAAGATTTAGAAAAAAAACGCTATGTTCCAACTTTTAATTAAAAAAAAAAGTTTTCGAAAGTAATTGAGCAACTTTCTTGTACACATCTAAATTATGCTTGGAGTATAAATTCAGCTAAATCCGTTTAAAATATACATATGCAACACTCAATTTATGGACAGACAATTAAAGTAGTCAATTTTCCAGTTAGAAAGTCAAAGGTTATTTTCTGTGGTCTTTTCCTCTGCTTGTCAGTAAATATACACAAAAGAGGAGGAGTAGATTGTTAAATTTATGCAACTTCTACGTATGTATTGAATATAACTATGTACATCCATATGCACATACGCAATTACAAATTGTATATACAAATGCAAAGTCATAAACATACATACATTAAGCTGGGATACGTTTAAGTTTTCCTTGCAGGAAAAAATTCATACAATACTCATTGAGGAGGCTCTCTAAATCAAACAAGCACGGCACGGCTGAAGGAAAGTTTATCTAGACTCACCAAAGATAGCGTTGGTTTAAGTACATGTAGGAATATATCTACTGAAAATTTCTTGGGACCATCAAAATAGGCATCGGCCATCTGTGGTCACCGAGTGGACTTATGAAATTAGTAGACTGTCTAACCTTACCTAAGCTATTATAATCTAGCCTTAATCTAATTTTATACATAGTCTGAGCGATAAGATTTATGTCGCTGAAAACCCAGCGTCAGCTCAGGCAACTGTAAGTCCAAATGCCTAATTTCCATACTACAAAAAAAAAACTCATATTACATTCCGCATTTCATACGCGTATTTTTTTAAATTTAGCACGTTTTTTTTAATTCTAAATTTTTTTTCCCTCAGTGTATTTTTTTAAATTTAACACGTCATAAAAATTTGCTTCCAAATTAACTCGAATTATGCTATAAAAGCAGTGTGATAGCTATACACTTTTTTGGTGATCCAGCCTAATAGAGAAAATAAAACCCGATCAAGCATAACCACTTTATGCTTTTCACTTCCAAAGTGAGATAACTACATACATATTTTTTCAAAACTACACAGACAACAGTGCAGGTGTAAGCGCTTAAAATCGACTGTGTGAAGTTTTAAGGATCTTTTAAGCATCTGGCTAAAGAGCCGAAAGTTTACACCGAGCGTCACTAAGTTACTTGCGTTTTTTTTTTTTTTTGCACTTCCAACTCTTTCATTTCATTTATTTTTTATTTAATTTTATTGTAACAAAAATAGGAAAACGTACAGCAATTGCCGCAGTTTGTTGCCTCTTAATCCGGCTACTCAAAGTGTTATTCGTCTCTCCTACGACTGGCGACTGGCTTGCTTGCCCATTTCACAGCTTTGCTCGCAACGAAGCCCTCCAAAAGTATGGAAATTGTGTTGAAAAGGAAAACTTTCGTAGTGAGAGATTAAAAATTGCAGTAGGTATAAACAAATTCAAGCAAAATTAGTTTCACGCTTTACTTCAGCTGCAGAGTAGCCAGCGTGCTGCTAGGCAGCAAGTGCAAAGGCGAGCCAACAATTGTTTTAACGGCGGTGCTTGAAGAAACTGTTGGACAATTAGTTTTGCGCGTAAAATGCAAGCAAATAGCAATGTAATAAAATACTTTTTAGTACAAAAAGGGTTAAAGTAGTATGTAGACACTTTTAATATCCTTTGCCGGCAGATTTGGGAGAAAAGAGTAAAAGAAAAATGTATGTAGTTGGAAATCTTATTTGGTTACTTCTTGGGCAAAACTTCGAAGCATGCTTATACATTTTACACATTGAGAGTATATGTATGTGTGTATGTGTGTATGTTTGTGCGTTTGCTAGAAAACGCCATTGGGAAATTACGAAAATTGCACGCGGCGCGGGCAAGTAGATAGCAACATTGTAATTGTGCATCGAGGTGGCCGTTGCACTATAAATTTAATGGAATTTTGATTTGCATCTACATTTATTCCATATTTTAATTAAGCGGACAGGATAAATTTACTTATATCTGGCGAAGTTTGAACATTTGTGTTAACTTGTATTTATGAACATATGTAATTTTGCTCTCCGTTTTGTTAAGGTTGTATTGAGACTGAAATCTTAGAAGGTCCGAGGTTTATATTAAACCTAATTTTTGTACGTATTCGATCACTGTACTGTTAAATAAAACATGGGGTATGGTGAATTTTCTTCTTAGGAGGTTGTGGTACCGGGTTCCCTTACTCTACTTTGCCTTTTCTGGCAGCTTTTCTTCGGCATCTCTGTACATACATTGATTTCATCCGCAATATCGTTCTCGCTAATGGAATCACCTGCAAGAAACCTTTCACCGACAATGGCCTCAACCTCCTGACTTTGCCCCAGTATAACTTGAACGTGTCCATACATGAAAAAATTTAATTTTTTGAGTCCCCACAGAGGAATCTTAACTTTGTTCCCTGAGCGAGATGCCTTAAACGTTTGCGATCGCGACCAAAATTTATATGTGATTTCTTCGACTTTAGTACTATCATCGAAGTGGGGGTTGAGGTTTAGAAAATCTAATGTAAAGTTATGCTTCATGCATTTAAGGACCACCTGCCTGCGCCGTACCTACTCGGTCACTGCGACTGATGGATTTACAAGTGGTTTCTCTCAACATAGCTTTGCACCACGAGTGGTGAATGAGAGAGCTTTTTTCCTAAGACTTGTTTTTTCTCTTTTCTTATAACATTTTTTTCTTTTGATTAAATTTTTCCGATTTTTTATTTTTAAAAATGATATACGAATTTATTTTTTATTTTAATTTAATTTTTAGAAACTTATTTTATGTATTTTTTACTTTTTTAATTTAATATCTTTTTTATACAATTTGTTTAATGGTTTGATTGTTATTGTTTAAACACAAATTTTTTTTTAATTTCATTTAAATTTTTGGAATTTGTTTTTTCTTTCTTTTTTAATATTTTTTTAGTTTTAAGTTAAATTTTCGTTTAATTTTTTAGATTTTACTTTGTGAGAAAGAAATATATATATATTTTTTAAATTTCATTTACTCTTTAGAATTTAGAAATTTATTTTTTCTTTATTTAAATTAAAATTTTTTTTCTTTTGTTGATTTCGAGTATATTTTTCCTTTTTTTAAACTTTTTTCCCGCATGTATTTTTGGACCACCCTATTGTGCTAAGGAGCAAATCAATTTTTTTTTTTAGCTCTTGGCTCCAGCTCCGCTCCAGCTGAAATCCTTTGCTCCGCTCCTCTCCGATGTCCTGGATTTTATTGTTTTTCATTCCAGCACGTTTGACATATCGGACTCGATTTTTACTATAAAGAAAACTATAATTTCCACTCTCAATAATTGAAATACTATCTTTAACATACCCAATCAGCTGATGAATTTGATTCTGGAGCTGAATAGGTTTAGATCTCAACACTTAACAAACTCCTGTTTCCACTACTCGGCACCAAAAAACTAAAAAAAAAAACGTTCCGTACGTCATGCGGACTGCGCCCCTCGTGTCGGTTGGGCGGGAATGGAGGGTAAAAACCCGTTGGGATTAATTAATAACTAAATAAATAGAAAAGAACAATTTATGTTTTTATTACCTTAAATTCTTTCCTTTTTATTGTTTATTAAAAATATCTAATTAAATTTTTAAGAATTATTTATTTATTTTTTGATAATTTTTTTTTCTTTTTCTAATTTTATTTTCTCTATTTATTAATATTTATTGTTTTAATTTTGATAATTTAATTTAATTTAATTTAAAAAAACTTATTGCTAAAAGGCGAACAGCATAACGCTAAGATCCCCTCGTTAGCAGATCTTTCAATCAGTCTTTCGAAAGATAATAAAGAGCTTTCAAGATAGTTGCCACAATTGACAATTGTCTTACGAAAAACTTTCGAAAGACCGTCGTGAGTTGAAAGACAGTTGTCAGAATTGCCCAAAAAATCTTGTCTACTGCCTTCTAATTGACTTACAAAAGATTTTCAACTATCTTAGCCAGAAATGCCCTGTAAATCTCTTTGTGTGTGATACTCTTTTTTATACAATAAACATTTAATAATACCTGTTCGGTTTTATGGGAGCAAGGTTGGGGTGTGCCAGGAAAGGTGGTTAATGGGAGCTGTGTAAGTAGAGATTTGGAAAATAAATGCATGTATTGCATTTAACTGTTTAAAAACAGAGTTGTTGTCTGTTGGGCTACAGCTTACAGTTCATAGCACCCATATGCAAAAGCATTTTTACACTCCAAACTAAAATCGATGGCAGACTATGAAATCTGTATAAAGGAAGATAAAATTAGACTTCAACGAAAGTTTTCAATGTCAGTGCTTAACTGCAAGCATTCTTACAATGGCATGCAATTTGAAAATACCACTGCTCACACATGCTTTGATTGGCCACCAACCCACTAACAATTCCACTTAAGTTTTATTGACTGTTTTGCATTTAGTTAATTCTCTTCGGCACACACAAAAGCCAAACAAGTGTTTTGGTGTGATTGCGAATATATTACTGAGAAAGTTGAAAACAAAAACTGCAAATTTTGTGAGCATATAAATATATAAATACATCTACATATACATAGAGATATGTGTAGGATATAATCTATTAGCCAAATATTCCGGCATTTTTTTTTGCATTGAGCGCGTTGAAGTATTTGCCTTCATCTCAATAGCGATGACTTGGCATTTAGCCATTTGTAGATATGCAGATATATGTGTAGATATATGTATGCTTAGCAGAGTCTCCACTTGACAAACAAACAAACAAATAAACACCACCAGCAGTATTCATAACAATAGGATAGTGAACCCATTGCGTTTTTTGCTACTTATTTTCACAAACTCGAATTGCGGAAAACAGTCCTAAGTAGTTAGTATTCTGTTCGGAAAGGCTGGAATGGTTAAAAGAAAAGTTGAAAATATGCACGAAAATCTCCACTTAGTCATGTCTGCCGAAACATTTGTATGTACATACATACATACATATGTACATAT